TTTTTCGTCAAGCTGAAAAAATGGCCGCGTCGCTCTTGTAACTGCGCATGCATACTCCCCATACTTGCATACATTTGATGTTTTTAGTCGCTGTATCTGCTCAAATAACATCCACCATGATATAATAAATCATTATATACTAAAATTCGCAAATTTGCAGACCTTCCAATGAAATATTACCAGTTGTTTTTTTGCGACAGAATACGTTATTGCAAAGTGCAAATTAGGCTACTCACCCTAGTCAAATATTTGTTTAGAAACTTTAAAGACTAAGTTATAAATTAATTAATGCAATATTTGACTAATTAATATGCATGGAATTGCACCAAAATCTAATCAGCGCATCTACTCATCATATATTAGCTGTGTGCCAAATTTCATTTGAACTGAAATTGTAGATCTTGTGGAACAAATTTTAGTCATGGGTCACAGACACTGGTACCACATAAGCTCCGTTTCACGGGAGCTAAAAATAGAGTAGCATTAGATTTGAATTAGATTGATCTTACGACAAAAATTCTTTATCTGATTTGGTGAGCAAAATTGCTCATTGAATTTTTCTCACGAATATTGTCGTCTTCATTTACCTCCCCGAGGTTTTAACAGTTTATAGTAGGTGTATAATGATGTCGTAATATGAATCTACAATTTAATAAAACAAATACAGTATTTCTACTTATCCATATATATTATCATGTCATATTCTCTGTTGTACATGCATATAAAACGAGTACAACAAAGTAAAATAATCATTTTCTGGATGACTTTATTTTCTTCTAATAGTTGTTGAGTATCATATTTAAAGATAAGAGGCTGTATGATTTTACATAATTGATGACACAGCATTTTTTTAGCAGGATAAATAATTACATTTAAATTTAATATTTCTTATTAGTTTTATCTCATGTCAGATACTAATGAGTTCGAGGGGGGGTGGAGTGAAATGCAATCAATAAATTAACAATGGTTCTTCAGTAAACCAAAACAAAGCAGTATCTGACCAGAGCTGTACATGCAACTTTCTCTCAGTACAGCGTCAATTCTGAACTAAATATGCAATTTGTTCATACATTTCAAAGATGACAAAAGTGGTGTAAATTGTTAAACTCTATTTGTTACTTTGCTAGCACCTTCATTGAGTGCCAATACTTTAACTGGAGCGTAGAAAATTTTTCATTTCTTCAACTCTTGCTCTTTTTCTTGGGGTGTTGCTTCGATTGTTGTTTGCGGGATGTTGTTTTACTGCTACTGGTATATTTCTGCTTGTCATTCCTGTACAGATACAAACATGTAAAGTTATATTTTCCGCTGTTTTATCTAAAGTTGCTGTCTGAAGTCAAATCTAAAGCTGTGTCAGGGGTTATGGAACAATAACCATATTTACTCTATTAAAAGGGCATCTCTAGTGCATTTGTTGTATCCTGAATCATTGAAATACAATTTTTTGACCTTAAAAAAATCTCTGTAATTTACATAAGTGCATGCATGCATGTGTGTACTAAAAGAGCAAATATGGTATATGATATTTTTGATAGTGTTCCTTTACAATTTTTTGACATTAAAACTTCTGTAATTTACATGAACACATGTGCTACTAATAGAGTAGTTATGGTATCTAAGTGATATTTTTGATAGTGTTCGTATACAATTTTTTGAGCTTAGAAAAACTTCTGTAATTTACAGGAACGCATGTACATGATCTAAGATAGTACTGATCTTTTTGAACACCAGTTTGTTGGTATGAGTAATGACTGACTATGCTTGGGTGATAATAGCGGCATTTAATTTATTGACCTCAGCATGCGACCAGAAATGGGACATGTTTTTCCAGTTATCCAGTTGAGCAGACATGCGCTGAAACATCTGTGTAAATGCTTGGGACCGAGTCAGCACATGTCGAAAACAATTCTATCTTGGTCCCAATAGAGATTCAAGACTGAAACCAAGATTTGCTGTCAGAATGCTCAAAGCGAATTGAGATCACACCCTCGGTGGTGAACTTAAGAGAATATATACTGTATGTATACTGTAAAATACTTTTATTTTCGCTTGGATTTAATTTTCGCTATTTTCGCTGAAGGAATGATTCAGTGAAAATAAAATCCAGGAAATATACCATTTTTTCAACATTTTACATTCAACATGGCAAAAATCAATGATAATAAATCCCATACAAAAATGTTTTTTCAGCGAAAATTAATTCCAACTATTAATACTAGTATAACATGGGTGATGGAGGGAAGTGCAGCTTTGTATAGCCAAATGCTGAGAAATCCCATTTGAAAGGCCATTATCTGTATGGTAATTCACAATGCTAAAAACAAACTTGTTTATTACAAAAACCCACTTAGTACATGTGGCTTTTCTCTGTGAAACAATGGTCTGTAACACCTATAACATTTTTATTCATTCAAGCAGCTGTGTAATCCTGAAGCGAACCGTCAAATACCCGGTGGTGCACTATTGTTGTTATAAATGGGCTTGTGACATGCAATTGCCAAATGCTTTAGAAAAGCGTGATTTGTACATCCCAAGTCAGTACTGTTGATTTTGTTGAAACTACTTGAGAAATTATGGCCAATACGATTTTGAATGACTGAGATAACTTTGCCCGAGATTTCATTTTCGGATTTTGTCTGCGCATTTTGTTTTGTGAATCGCCATCTGATGATGAAGTCATAGCGTCCATTTTGGACCAAAATGCTAAGGCCAATGAAGCATTCTACCCAGACATTCCTGTTGACATTGAACTGCCTTTATCAGCAAAAGCAACGAATTGAGTAAGGAAATTAACCTCAGTTTCATGAAAATATTGAAACATCGTTGACTCAACTCGTGGACCAATTTTGTGCAGTATGGGCCAGTCATCTCAGGTGAGCTTTGTTTTTATACAAAGTATAAAGCTAAAATTTTTTTAGAGATTTTGAAATATTATTCCAGGTATTATTATTCAAAAAATATTCTACTTAGATTGAAATGTACATGTGGTTGATTTTCGAGGCAAAATTCTAGCCAGGTTATTTTTAACCTGTTGCACATTTTGTTTCAACACACAATATTTGCCCCATGTCTTTTATGTGAATCAAATACAATTTTAGGTATATTTTTGTATTGTCGTTCATAGCTACATTGAATTTGTTTATTTGATGGTGAATTTTATTACAAAATTTCTCCAAAAATTTTATGGGATCCTAGTAGAAATAATCACTGCATCAAAAAGTTCACAGAATTGGGAAATGTGCAAAAATCAGTTTCTGGAACATATAACTTACTTGCTCATGGTAACTTTGTTTCTACACCCTTGACCGCCTTCCCAGTGTACCGATCGGGACTTGGTCATGGCATTGGAACAACTAATACAGGGCTTCTCAGATGAATACGGCTGTAGATAAACAGAAACAATTACTTAATTACAATAATATTATCATCACCACAATGGGGACCTGGGTGTCTTCTGAACCAATATGATGCGCCACTGATTTGCTGTGATGCAGCTAATAATGCTATACGATGCACCACTGATTTGCTATGATGCAGCTAGTCATGCTATACGATGCACCACAGATTTGCTGTGATGCAGCTAGTAATGCTATACGATGCACCACAGATTTGCTGTGATGCAGCTAGTAATGCTATACGATGCACCACAGATTTGCTGTGATGCAGCTAGTAATGCTATACGATGCACCACAGATTTGCTGTGATGCAGCTAGTAATGCTATACGATGCACCACAGATTTGCTGTGATGCAGCTAGTAATGCTATACGATGCACCACAGATTTGCTGTGATGCAGCTAGTCATGCTATACGATGCACCACTGATTTGCTGTGATGCAGCTAGTAATGCTATACGATGCACCACAGATTTGCTGTGATGCAGCTAATCATGCTATACGATGCACCACAGATTTGCTGTGATGCAGCTAGTAATGCTATATGATGCACCACTGATTTGCTGTGATGCAGCTAGTAATGCTATACGATGCACCACAGATTTGCTGTGATGCAGCTAGTAATGCTATACGATGCACCACTGATTTGCTGTGATGCAGCTAGTAATGCTATATGATGCACCACTGATTTGCTGTCATTGGCACAACAGCAAAATTGTACATTCATACAGTGATCATCTAAAAAAAATTCACATTTCAAAAACAAAATAAGTGAAAAAACAAAGCAAATCATGGGCCGCAACATTTTCTATTGTGCCTCAAGTCACTTACATAGTCACATACATTATTATTTTTTTCTTGAAGACCTCTCTCCCCAGCAGTGAACAAACTGAATTTTGGGGATTTTTATTTGAGATCCCTACAAAATCAATGCTGTTAGAGGGCACACAGAGAGAGACAATTAATTGTAACTAAAAAGTATGTGCAATCAGGTTTACAGCCCTAAGCTCGTGCCAGCTGGTGCCCAATCCAGCATATGTGGAGCGTAAACATGTATGAGACATAGCCCAGACTGAACCGCGGGCAGGGAGTATGCATGTAGCTGTATTGATAACAAATCAGATAACGTTCCCTTGCAGCATTCTATTTGCACAGACATACCATTAACTTTAAAGGAATATAAGCTTTATTCAGCAGATCAAATAAAACATAAATGTAAAGCATAAAATCAAAAATGCAACTTCTGATTAAAGAATGTGAGCAGTGTTCCGGAGTCAAAAGTGATAAAACATAAAGCGAATGATATTAGCTTTGGAGGAAGATGTACTTTAACTTGTGAATGTCATACCACTTATTAGAAGAAAGGCGTGCAAGTTTCAAACTGTCCTGCATTTTACACATTGTCAAGCGTTTTAGCTCAAAATTCCATAAAAGTCACTAGAAAGGTAATAGAAATTTTCACAATTTAAAGAATTTTATATCATTCATGGAAACAAATTCTGTGAAGTCACTGACTCGTAAACATTTGTCTTTCAAGAAATGAGAGTGTTTAATGCTTTAGGCATTAGATTGTAATAATGAAACAGAAATCGCTGTTCTGACGATATGTCGTCTTTGTCACATGACTACCAACAATTATTACCTGCTCCTTACAGCAGTGTCCGCATATCATTCTTGTTGCTAGTTTCATTTCGTGATCAGTCTCTTCTGCATTATGACATTCATCGCAAGGATAAGCCTTTCCACAGCATGGAAACCTGCAGAGAATCCAGATAGTAAGCAACGCCATGATTTTTAGCACTAAAATGGCCGTCATTCAGCCTTCTTGAATTTGTTCACAAAGCTAATGCATTTGCATATCTATCCCAAAATGTATGTATGAAGTTTGAATGGTCGATTCGGTCATGTCCGAGATACAGGTGCAGATGCACACGTGGTGTACACTCACAAGAGTGACTCTACGAGTTCACGTTTTCAGACTTTTAACTGGGAATAATAAATGCAATTTCTCATTTAAGAGCACTTTTATCAAAAGATGTGCTTCATAATTCTAACACATCCCTGGTTACTCTCAACCCATGTATAATGCCATGATAGACATATGCCAGCCATTGTAAATTTATATGCAATTTAATTTTCACTTCAAAATACATTTCTGTCATTTGAGAGCATCTACAAGTCAAACTGATAGAAATAAAATCCATTTCAAGTATTAACGAATGTAAAAAATGTATATATAACACAAGACTCTTATTTTCTGACGTCATATTGTAATCTACACTCTCAATAAAAGTAAAAAACTGATGGAGTTTTAGCCCCACAGCTGTGTTTTTTAAATTATAGTTAAATCCCGATGAGATCCTAATAACAGATAACCTTAATAACAGATACCTTAACCATCTGAAACTTTTCTTATAGTGCTTGCAGGTACCATTTAATGGCAGTGGTTTCCCTTCCTGAATGGCCGGATCTTTGGACACCTTCTTGGGTTTCTTCACTTCAATTACGTGTGCTTTTCCCGATACTGAAAACAACAGAGAATTATAATGACATTAATACAAATTTAATATACCAGATACTGTAAAAATTTTCGCTGGAATTAATTTTCGCTGAAAAGACATTTTGGGTGTTTTGTATGGAATTTATTTTCACTTTGATGTGTTGAATGATAAATATAGGTACAACAGTATATTTGCTGGATTTTATTTTCTCTGGATCATTCTTCCACAAAAATCGATTCCAATCGAAAATAATGTATTCTACAGTGAACATATTTTCTAAGAAACAATAAATTACAAGGGGTCTTCAATTAATTAAAGTACAGGTAATGCACAGGAAATGCAATTTGTCAAACTAGTGTGTATTGGGGTAGGGGGATAATTTCTGGCAAAATTCTTCCCACTATGGAAAACTTCTGAAAAATCTGACTACCAAACAGGTGTAAATGGCCATGCTTTGACCCATCCTTTAATAATATGGATTAGGAAGTGGAATACTGTCAAATTGAAAATAGAAAATAAAAAAAAACATGATTACATAACTTGCACTGCCTTTCAATTAGAAACATTATTGCTAGTCAAACTGTACACGACCATTTTTTCAGGACAAAAAACAAGAAATCTGACAAACAAAATCAATCAAAATAGTTTTGCTGTTTTAGCAGAGCACAGTCCAGCAATAATGAGTGCTTGCATATAGTTATGTAAACATTACAGTGGACAAAACAAATTTCTATTTAAATGTTACAAGCTCTGTGTTCATACTTAATCATTAATAAGGATAAGTTTAATAGTACCAGATACCAACATTTTGGATTAATCATGTACATATAAACCAATCTCACTAACATATCAAGGCGAGGTCAGATAACATTTTTGAAGATATCATAATAGGGGTCTGCCCATGGTACACATACACCATGTATCAAAGCAATTGGAATATTGGTTTTAACCAAAAATGACAGAGTTATTTTCTAAAAATCTACTAGAGGTCCACCCAATCAAAATATAAACCAAATATCAAAGTTTTAAAGAAGAAGTAAAAAAAAAAACATTTTGATCAAAAATTACAAAAATATTCATTAAAATTAGAGAAGATATCATGAAGATATCATATCATAGAGGTCAACCCAAGTATAACGGGCAATAGGGTCTTAAGAAGAAATCATATTCAAAAAAAATTAAAACAGTCTCTTGGCTGAGATAGCTTTGTAATACACATTTCATTTACGAATTGAGAGATCCACATGTAGTACCTATATGTATGTATAATATCAATGCAATTGGACTTGCGTTTTTAACAAGAAGTCGAAAATATCACTTTTTACCAAAAATGAAAAAAAATTCACCAATAATTAGAGATTTAAAGAGATCTTGAAATGAACAAATCTAAGTGAGGTCTACCCAAGGTACATATACACCAAGTATCAAAGCAATCAGGCTTGTAGTTTTCAAGAAGAAGTCGAAAAAGTTGACACAAACGAAGACGGACAATCAGTGATACAATCAGCTCTGCTTGACAAAGTCAACAGCATAGACAAGTTTCCTCATTATTTTAGAAACTTGTGTGCTCTTGTGAAAAAAGGTTCCAATTTCGTCTATGTAGGGGGGTTGCTTTGTCGCACGAACAATCGTGCCGGGAACCGGGGAAATCTGTGGATAAATTGTGCGAGCTAAAAATCAACCCCCATTGTCGCATGGAAACCGACTGATGGAGCTATCTCAAAACCTCTCTATTCGTTAAGGTAACCAAAGCCATGGGACATGAAAATGACTACAGTTTGTAGACAAGTTAGTTTTATAAATTCAGTCACTTATTGGAAATCCTATAAAGGCAGTGTGTGCATGGTAATATGATCTCTTCTTCAATACTCAGCAATGAAAAAGCTCAACCCAGCAACACTGTAACAGGCATAAGGGTTGGACCATTAGAAATTCAGGGGTGGCAGAAAAACTATGAAAATGAAATATATTTGTTTTCTATCACTTAGTTTGGTACTTATTTTGCTTTCAATGATGACTTCACTGTAATTTTTTGTTTTTGTTTTGTGCAAATTTTTTTTTTTCAATTCTGCCACCCCAGAGTTTCTAATGGTCCAGCCCTCAACTGTGAAATTACCAGCTTACCCTTAGACTGTTGTAGTTGTAGAAATTTAACCGCATCAGCTACAAGTTTCATCTTTTTATGACAATGTTTGCACCACAAAGTTTTGGCCTGACCAAAATGGAGACCCTAAAAACAAATATTAAGATACACGTATATATATGAAACACCAACATGCAAAAAATCTTTATTTTGCTCTCACTTCTGCTAGAAGATTGCCATGGAAACACTGTACTGTACTATGGCACTGAAGAAATGTGAAGAGTAACACTGTACAGTGCGCATGTATGGTGTTAATTGTCACAATTGTCACACATGAAATCACATTCTTTTTTATCCCTGCAGTGAAATGATCAATATTTTGTCATTTTTCACTCGCTGGAAAAATTACAAAATATAAACTATTGTGTTTTGTGGCTGTCGATCATTAAAATTGACACATGGGGAAATGCAAGTCATTTGTAAATGGTGACCCCCCCCCCTCCCCAAATCAAAATCCAGAATCAAGAAGCACAAACCCCCTTTGTTGACAATTCAACTTATGTATGCTTTGGTACCATGTGTACAATATTTTATGTCCCTTAATTTCTGTTTCTGTTTTTCAAAGTTCCTTATTGGGATTTTAAAACATGCAATACAGAACTATTGTTTATCATCTCCGTAAATTTAACTACTTACAATCCACACGTGTCATTTTTATTAAACAACAGCCCCTGAAGCAATATTAATTAATACTATTGTGCTTCCCATACCGTGAATGCCATTTCCTTGGAGCAGTTGAAGCAGCCGGCATTGAAATCGCAAAGAATGGAGATCAAATCAAATGGAATACAACCTTCCAGATCGAGATAACCCATGACAGATGAATACTGATGCATTATACTCGGCCTGAATGTTACCAACTGCTGCGTTTGACAGCGGTTACATAACACCGAATTGAGTCGATGAGCTGGTGTGGTGATATCCCACTTTCCCTTGCATTTTACACATTGAATACTTATGGAGAGTTTGGTACAATTCATGGTAGCAGTGTTCTCAGTTAACTCAAGTCCTCGTAACTTTATCTCTGTTCCGCGATGTTCGTTGAGTTGTTTTGAATCACTCCTCTCCTTATCCTCGTCCTCGTCTATTTCACGTTGTTTTATTTGTAAATCCTCCATTTTAATCAGTTCTTGACTTTCCATATCATTGTCAGCCTTAAAACCAGATTTCCGTAGAACTGTCAAGCCTTCATCCTTCCTATCTGTCGGTTCCCCCTCTGGCATCACTGCTTTTTCATCACTTGTGGCTAAATGATCACTAGGGATAAACTCAAAACCTGCAGCCTTTGCAACAACTTCCATCTTGTACTGTATAACCAAACAGATAATTTTATATTAATATTTAATATGTTAACAAATTCTTTAAATCCAGGCTGGTAAGGTTATTTATGACATATTTGTACATTTTAATATCTTGCACATCATTAATAACAAAATAAGCTGTTGTCACAATGCCTATTATTTGAGAACGTTGTTAAAATGTGTGTGTGAACAGAATATGCCGTTGTGGCGTTTTTGATACTGTCGTAAAAGGGGTGGACCAGATCCTAAACGCCGTTATCACACCGGCTCTTGCACAACGCAATGTGCCGCGTGAACACAATACGACGGCCAAACGCCCTCTATCGCCGACTTATTTATGCTTGTCATTACACAAGATGGCGTCAGATGTTTTCTAGCCAATCTCTGTTATCCCAAGTTCATAACGCTATTTCTTCCCACCAGTTATTTCCACGTTGTCAAGTCCAAATCGCTCGGGTTGCTGGGTCTATTGTTGCGTTATTTATACACGCGAATAGCATGAACATAAACTGATCATTTCTTGGTTTTGTTCGACCTAACAATTTGGCAATTTCTTGCTCTTCGAAATCTCAATAAATCGTTCGTTGTTGTCTTCTTCTCGAGCGTGAAAACACACGGTGTTATGTTTGAGTTTATTTTATGTATTTATTATTTGTGTAATTTGTAGTTGGGATTTTATTGAAACGTCATATTTCCCTCGGTCGCTTTGTTCTTTTGTCAATTTATCCCTATTTTGCATATTTATTTGTACTGAGCTAAGAGTCTGCTTTGGCTATAAAAGCCTTTTGTTTTACGTTGACGAGAGAAGACTGCAATTAGACGGTAAACTGATAGCAAGAGGACGCCAAATAGACGGTAAACTGATAGCACTATAATTTTTACCAGTATCACTGACTGGTTTATCAGTTTATAAGGAAATGGGGTCTGTTCTTGAACATTGTTAGCTGTCCGGGCTGGTTTGTGTGTTTGTTCTGGCGACGTGTTGGAGGAAGCTTCAAGAAGTCCACGTGTGAGCTGAAACTTGGTACGCTTCGACGGAGATGAACGAATGAAGATTGACACCACCTCGGAGTCGTGACAAAAGTTCGAAGACGATGGAGTGACAGGCCAGCAGAGAACAAACTCTTTGATTTGATTTGATTTGATTTGATAAGTATTGTTAATTTTGACTGTTTGTTCTTTTTGCCGTTGTTAAACGGAAGTCTTATATTGGTTGCATGTTACTGCTAGCATTTTTGTTTGAGGTGTGGTGTAGCACACAAAGTTATGTGACATTTGAATAGGGCATTGAAAATATACTACCGTACTATCTTGCACACTGCTTGCGTTCGGGCGTTTTATTTGTTATACGAGTCGAGTACTAGGGTCTGAACGTAACACACGGGAAAAACAGAGGGGACGCCATTTTGTCGACTGACCTTTCCATTCGTTTATTGACACCAGTGTTTTTACTAAGTGAGAACGCGAGCAGACAATTCAACAGATTATCTAATATTTGCACAACAAAAAACAGTGTTAACAATCGGTGTTTTTAGAAGTGTGAGAACGTAACTCTTTATTCTGCAAAAGCAGGATTTCTCATACACAAAACTGAGTAGCAACAACACCGGCATGAGGGGGCAGTATTGCAGGATGGCGATTCTATCTGGAATATTGGAACACCTTTGTGTGTAGTGTAGTGCTTTTGACAAATGTTTTTATGATGTACCATCCAACCGGAGAGAGGAGGTGTGTTTTGCACTCTCCATAGAGTGAGCCAAAAGAAAATAGTTATGTCTTGGTTTGAACTAGAGATTCTAGTAGTGCTTCTATTGTGGATAAAAGATTTATCAGTAAATCAGTGGAAGAAGGAATCAATGAATACATGTATTTGGAGTTAAGCAAATTATGCCTAGATATAATTTATCAGATCAATTCGCTACTGAAAAGGCTTTTCTTTAACAAAAAATTGTTAACAGATTTTTACCAAAATCTAATCAGATCTTGCAAATGTCCTATAGAATATAACTGCTGAGTTTCATCGGATTCTGATCACTGATTTATAAGATATCGCATTCATTTGCTGCACCAAAGGAAAGACAGACAGACATAAACTTAATTTTTAACGAGAGCTATCCCTGTGGTACAGTGATAGGCTAGATAATCAATACATCCTCTGAAATAATTCCCCAAAATTTAGTTGAAAAATCTGAATTTTAAGTTTAAAAAACACCAGTGGTCAGGCATTGGGCGTTGCTTGCAGAATAAGGTGTTGGGTAAGCATAACAGATAAGAAACAATCTTAGAAAGAACTCCCATTTGCTGAGAGTATTGGAGACACATTAAATATAATTTTAAATTACTTAGCTGAAAACTAATTATGCAAATCAGAATATTAACATGAACAGATTTGATTGTAAAACTAATGAGCTCTGCGCAATGTGACAAAAACTCTATGTACCAAGTTTAATTGAAATGTGATTAGAACCAAAAAATTATGAATTATTATGCTAATTAGGGAAATAATATGAACAGAGTTTTACCCCAAACTAATTAGGTTTGTACATTGTCCAAGAGCATCTTTGTACTAAGTTTCATTAAAATGGAAATTAGTACTTTAGATATCAGTGTGAAAGCTTAAAATTGGTTAATTATGCAAATTGGGTAATTAATATGTACAGATTTTAACCCACAATTATCCAGGTCTGTCTATTGTCCTACAGCATCCATGTATAAACATTCATTGATATGTGATGATTAGTACCTGAGATATCAGTGTGAAAGTTGGAAATTGGTTAATTATGCAAATTAGGTGATTAATATGCACAAATATTTACCAAAAACTAATTAGGTCTCTGCATAATTCTAGATTCATTGAAATGGAGTGATTAGTACTTTAGATATCAGTAGAAAAGCTGAAAATTAATTATGAAAATTAGGTAATTAATATGCACAATTATTTACCCTGAAACTAATCAGGTCTCTGCACAGTCCTAAAGGATCTATGTACCAAGTTTCATTGAAATGCGATGATTAGTACTCACCCGTGGAAAAGCTGAAAATTAACTAATTATGCAAATTAAGTGATTAATATGCACAAGTATTTATCCGAAACAATCAATCTCTGCATAGTCCTTGAGTATGTAAGTATA